TGCGCTGTAGCCCTCTTTTGGGAAAATGGTTAATGACAGGTAGCCTGATTTGCAATAGATATACTGTACTCCAAGTTGTGTTTTTCCAGATAAAGGTCCCTCATTATGTGTTGCCTCCCTACTTTCTCCAACAAAACTGACTTCCCAAATAACCCTTTAGATTACCCTGGTGAGCCAAATAGCAAAACACAGGTGAAACCATTAAACTTGCTGCAGGCACCAGGTACACTGTCAGTTGTACATTTCTGCCAATGACAGATGCTTTCTAACCACTTGTTGACAGTAATCCTATAAGAAGGTTGATTTCAGCGGGCTTGCCAACAAGTGGTTAAATTTCTTTGCGGAAAAGAGTTGTCATCTCCTGCGTCGCCCTGGGGTAGAGCTGAATTCCAAGCAAAGAGCTAAGTGCACAGCTGAAAAATATTGTATATACTGTATGTGAACATCTTTATAGTATCTTTAAAGGGATTAAAAATTCTGTTCATCCAGTCTTTTGATCCAGGCAGCATAGCCAGATCTTACTTTTCACTGCTAGAGTAAGGCTGATGTCGAGCAGCCTTCTCTGCCGCAGTCCTGACGCTGACCATTTGTTCAAGTCACCAGTGCCAGGATTGCTAAGAGGCTGCCTGATAATCCCTGAGGAATCACCCCAATTATTAGATGTGGTGGCTGCATTAGTTTTCTTTTTCAGATTTTGTTTACTTTATTTTTACTTGGTGATCCTGCCACTATTATGTTATTTTTCAACTTACTCTTACAGACCAAGCTGTCCAGCGAAAGTGGCAATTAACACTGACAGGGTTGGTCAGTTAGTCAGCTTATACAGTATTTATGTAAAATCTTTATCCCAAAAGAAAATAAAAAACTGTTGCTGCAACTGCTTATAAAGTGTTAGCTGGAGATTCCCACATGGAAGAAAAATATACTTTAAATATATTTTAAAAATATTCTTCCCAAATATATTGACATATATTTGAAATACTACAATTTTGGCCATATTCAATATATTTCAATAAATATATATAGATATATATACACTGTATGTTGAAATGCGTTTTTATTACAAAATATATGAAAAATATTTGTAAAAATACATTTTCAAATATCCTGTATGTCTTTAAAAATACATTTAAGCTACATTTTTGGAATGCATTTACAAAGGTATGTAGAAATATATGTTAAAATTACTTTTTTATATGTTTAAAAAAAATCTGAAGAATATATTTAAAAAATATATATTTTTAAAAATATTTTTCATATATATATATATATATTGAATTGCCAATAATTTTGAAATATATTTATGGCCAAAATTGTATTTAAAATATATGTTAATATATTTGGGAAAATATTTTTAAAATATATTTCAAATATATTTTTCTTCCATGTGGGTTGGCTTTAATTTTTTTTAATGAAGTCCATCTGAATACGCTAGTCCATCTAACACCCCTCTTCCCAGACTGACAATGCTGCTGTCCAAATGAGTCTCCATTGTTCTTCCATCCAGAATGGAGACACCGTAAGACAGGAAGTGTGTTACTGGCTAGATCACCAGGTGAAAATAAAGGGGAAAAAAAAGAAAACAAATGCAGCCACCATATCTAAGAATTGTAAAGCTGCAAATAAATTACAATTTTTTTTTGGCTTACTAAAACTAATGAAAGGCATAAGGCTGAATTCACACGCTAAAACACCAGGAATTAGGATACTCATTTACTTACCAATCTGAATGCAGCAGTGTTGTATTTTATGGGCCCATGCACATAGCAGTGCACATGTTCCATAATCTGAAGCTGTGTTCAGCTGCAAAAGAAAAAAAAATCCGCATCCATGGTCCTGGGTAAGAAAAAAAAATCTGCATCCATGGTCCTGCGTAAGAAAAAAAATCTGCATCCATGGTCCTGCGGAAAAAAAAACGCATGTAAGAAAAAAAATCTGCATCCATGGTCCTGCGTAAGAAAATAAACTGCATCTATGTGTATGAATGATATTTTATGCTGTAAACATGTAAATGTTTGTGCTAGTGTACACATGTGTAAATGTAACTTTATTGGAGCCACCTGTATCCTAGAAACAAGAGACTAGGCCACAGGAACTGCCTTCATCTCAGCAACAAAATGCACTAGGCCACAGGAACCACCTGCATCCCAGCAAAGAAGGAGGCTAGACCACAGAAACTGCATGCGTCTTAGCAACAAAGGTTGCCAGGTCACAGCTGCTGCCTGCATCCTAGCAACGAAGAAAGCTTGGCTGCAGGAGCTGCCTTCATGCTTGCAACAAGGGATGCTAGACGTCAGTAGCCACCTGCGTACTTGAAAAGAAGGATGCTGGGACTGCAGGAGTCACCTGTATCCTAGTAATCAATAGTGTACATTAGCCATCTCCTTATACTGGGTTGCAAATTTCCAGTGGTGGCTTCTGGATTAGTACTGAGGTGCAAACAGGGCTAAATGCAAGTGGGCGGTCATTACCCAAGTATCCATTATGTACATATATTAATGGTTACATATTCTGACATTTCTGTTACAGGGAACCTGTCCTGAGAATAATACATAAGGTGCTATTTCTGACCTCCAAGGGCTTTAATACTTTTTGAATCTCAGACCCAGAACAAGTAAAGATATAGATTGTAGGAGATAACACTTAAAGTGGAGTTCCACTCAACCTATCAAAAAATAAAAGTCAGCAGCTACAAAAACTGCCACTTACCTGTCCCTCGGGTCCCGCGCGGTGTGTCCCCTAGGAGGCCAGCATCTTCCGTATGGGGGGCCCCCCCGGCTGTGATAGCTTGCGGCTTCACAGCCGGGTACCCACTGTGCATGCAACGAGCAGCGCTGCGCTGCGCTTCATGAATGGTTCTGTAGTCTTCTGGGACCTGTCACGTGTCCCAAAAGACTACGGGGAGGGAGGACACCTTCCGCTTCCGATCGCCTAGGCCAGTGGTTCTCAACCTTTCTAATGCCGCGACCCCTTAATACAGTTCCTCATGTTGTGGTGACCCCCAACCATAAAATTATTTTCGTTGCTACTTCATTAACTGTAATTTTGCAGTGGGAGGAATAGTGCCTCATCATTGGTATCAGTGGGAGGAATAGTGCCCCATCACTGATGTCAATGGGAGGAATAGTGCCCCATCATTGGTATCAGTGGTAGGAATAGTGCCCCCATCATTGGTGTCAGTGGGAGGAATAGTGCCCCATCATTGGTGTCAGTTGGTAGGAATAGTGCCCCATCATTGGTGTCAGTGGGAGGAATAGTGCCCCATCATTGGTGTGTCAAGTGGGAGGAATAGTGCCCATCGTTGGTGTCAGTGGGGGGAGGAATAGTGCCCCATCGTTGGTGTCAATGGGAGGAATAGTGCCCCATCATAGGTGTCAGTGGGGGGAATAGTGCCCCATCATTGGTGTCAGTGGGGGGAATAGTGCCCCATCATTGGTGTCAGTGGGGGGAATAGTGCCCCATCATTGGTGTCAGTGGGGGGAATAGTGCCCCATCATTGGTGTCAGTGGGGGAAATAGTGCCCCATCATTGGTGTCAGTGGGGGGAATAGTGCCCCATCATTGGTGTCAGTGGGGGGAATAGTGCCCCATCATTGGTGTCAGTGGGGGGAATAGTGCCCCATCATTGGTGTCAGTGGGAGGAATAGTGCCCATCACTGGTGTCAGTGGGGAGGAATAGTGTCCCATCACTGGTGTCAGTGGGAGGAATAGTGTCCCATCACTGGTGTCAGTGGGAGGAAAAGTGCCCCATCACTGGTGTCAGTGGGAGGAATAGTGCCCCATTACTGGTGTCAGTGGGAGGAATAGTGCCCCATCACTGGTGTCAGTGGGGAGGAATAGTGCCCCATCATTGGTGTCAGTGGGGGAATACGGCCCCATTATTTGGTGTCAGTGGGAGGAATAGTGCCCCATCATTGGTGTCAGTGGGAGGAATAGTGCCCCATCATTGGTGTCAGTGGATGAAATAGTGCCCCATCATTGGTATCAGTGGGGAGGAATAGTGCCCCCATCATTGGTGTCAGTGGGAGGAATAGTGCCCATCGTTGGCATCAGGGGGAGCAATAGTGCCCCAACATTGGTGTCAGTGGGAGGAATAGTGCCCCATCGTTGGTATCAGAGGGAAGTATAGTGCCCCATCGTTGGTGTCAGTGGGAGGAATAGTGCCCCATCGTTGGTGTCAGTGGGAGGAAATAGTGCCCCATCATTGGTGTCAGTGGGAGGAATAGTGCCCCATCACTGGTGTCAGTGGGAGGAATAGTGTCCCATCACTGGTGTCAGTGGGAGGAATAGTGTCCCATCACTGGTGTCAGTGGGAGGAAAAGTGCCCCATCACTGGTGTCAGTGGGAGGAATAGTGCCCCATCACTGGTGTCAGTGGGAGGAATAGTGCCCCATCACTGGTGTCAGTGGAGGAATAGTGCCCCATCATTGGTGTCAGTCGGGGGGGAATACGGCCCATTATTGGTGTCAGTGGGAGGAATAGTGCCCCATCATTGGCGTCAGTGGGAGGAATAGTGCCCCATCATTGGTATCAGTGGGAGGAATAGTGCCCCCATCATTGGTGTCAGTGGGAGGAATAGTGCCCCATCGCTGGCATCAGGGGGAGCAATAGTGCCCCAACATTGGTGTCAGTGGGAGGAATAGTGCCCCATCGTTGGTATCAGAGGGAAGTATAGTGCCCCATCGTTGGTGTCAGTGGGAGGAATAGTGCCCCATCGTTGGTGTCAGTGGGAGGAATAGTGCCCCATCGTTGGTGTCAGTGGGAGGAATAGTGCCCCATCGTTGGTGTCAGTGGGGGGAGGAATAGTGCCCCATCGTTGGTGTCAGTGGGGGGAGGAATAGTGCCCCATCGTTGGTGTCAATGGGAGGAATAGTGCCCCATCATAGGTGTCAGTGGGGGGAATAGTGCCCCATCATTGGTGTCAGTGGGGGGAATAGTGCCCCATCATTGGTGTCAGTGGGGGGAATAGTGCCCCATCATTGGTGTCAGTGGGGGGAATAGTGCCCCATCATTGGTGTCAGTGGGAGGAATAGTGCCCCATCACTGGTGTCAGTGGGAGGAATAGTGTCCCATCACTGGTGTCAGTGGGAGGAAAAGTGCCCCATCATTGGTGTCAGTGGGAGGAATAGTGCCCCATCACTGGTGTCAGTGGGAGGAATAGTGCCCCATCATTGGTGTCAGTGGGGGGAATACGGCCCCATTATTGGTGTCAGTGGGAGGAATAGTGCCCCATCATTGGTGTCAGTGGGAGGAATAGTGCCCCATCATTGGTATCAGTGGGTGGAATAGTGCCCCCATCATTGGTGTCAGTGGGAGGAATAGTGCCCCATCGTTGGCATCAGGGGGAGCAATAGTGCCCCAACATTGGTGTCAGTGGGAGGAATAGTGCCCCGTCGTTGGTGTCAGTGGGAGGAATAGTGCCCCATCGTTGGTGTCAGTGGGGGAGGAATAGTGCCCCATCGTTGGTGTCAGTGGGGGGAGGAATAGTGCCCCATCATTGGTAATAGTGACACCAATGATTGGGCACTATTCCTCCCACTGACACAATGATACTTACCTTGCTGACCCCTGCTCCAGCCTGGGCTTGCTCCCTCCCTCTCCCATGGTACAAACACTTACCAGTCAGATGGCTTCCTTCTCCGGCCGCTTTCCTCCTCTTCACTCGCTCGTGCTTCGCGGTGCCGCTCGGCTCCTCCTTTCCAAGCTCCACCTCCTCGCCGGTGATTGGCCGCCTGTGTGCCTCTCTTGAGCTACAGTTCCGGCGGCCAATCACCGACGAGGAAGGATTGATCCCGGGGGTGTGTCCAGATGACAGAGACGGCATGTCATCCTGCCCACACCTGCAGACGGATCAAGGAGCGGTGTCTCGGTTCCTAAGGCCATCGGAAATATGTGTTTTCCGATGGTCTTAGGCAACCCCTGGGAAAGTGTCGTTCGACCCCCAAAGGGGTCGCGACCCCCAGGTTGAGAACCGCTGGCCTAGGCGATCAGACTGGAAGTGGGAGCGGGTACCTGTCAAATTCGGGTACCCTCTTCCCAAATTCGCCAATCCTTAATGGGGAGCAGTCCTTCAAGCGGAACTTCCTCTTCTGGGTGAAACTCCGCTTTAACCACTTGCCGTCCGCCTGCTGTTTATAAACGGCAGGATGGTGGCAGTCCAGGGGCGGGTTGCCGTTCATAAACGGCACCCGCCTTTTCTAGCTGTGCGCGCTCCCTGGGAGCGCGCACCACCGCGATCCGGTGCCCGCTGTGTCCTCCGGACACAGTGAAAACACCGATCGTCGGATGGGACCTCTGTGTGAGGTCCCGATCATGTGATCACTGATTGGCGAATCAGTGATCACATGCAAAGTAGTAAGCAAGATGTCACTTGTGACATCATTGCTTACTATGTGTGAAATCTGTGAATGATCACAGAGGTCACATGGTACAAGGCTATTCACAACAGCCTTGTACCATGTGACAAGCTGTGACCACTCACAGCTCACTCAGTAATTCTCAATGACTGCAAGAATGCAGACAGAGAGAAAGAGAAAGAGATCCTATATGGGTGTAAAAGCAATCAGTGTAAAAAAAAAAAAAAAAATCTTCATCACCCCCACAAGTAGTACAGTGACACTGTATTGCTAGGGTGACAGTATGTAAAACAAAAATAAATAAAAAATAATAAAAAAAAAAAAAAAAAAATGTTTAAAAATTATAATTTGTGGTTATAAACTAATTTGGATTTTTTTTTTACTAAAAAAATAACGGAATACATTTTGGCTAAGATTTATGATGAAATATTATTTATTTGCAATTTTTTTTTAAAAAAAAACACTTTTTTTTTTCAAAATTTTTGGACCTTTTCATTTACATAGTAAAAAAAATAAAAATCCCAATGGTGAATAAATGCCACCAAAATAAAGCTTTATCTGTCTAAAAAAAATGGTAAAAAATTCAAATGGGTACAGTATTGCATGACCGCGCAATTGTCATTCAAAGTGTGATAGCGCTGAAAGCTAAAAATTGCCCTGGACAGGAAGGGAGTAAAAGTGTCCGGACAGGAAGTGGTTAAGGCCTCATGCACACTGACGTTTAGCAACCGGCATGATATCCTGATGTTTTTGTGCAGGTGGAAGGTACAGGCACACCACCCAGCCCTGCTCTGAACAGCCTATAAAGGTCTACAACTGGATGGTGCTCTGGGTGGTACTCAGTGGTGTATTTAGGTTTTGTGCTGCCCTAGGCAACATAAAATTTGGCTCCCCCCCACGGAGAGACCCTGACATCAAGCAGCACCCCCCTCCCCCACAAAGAAAGCCTGACATTGACCAACAATACCCCAGCCCCCCCACCCCAACCCGAGAGAGCTTTCCACTACCACCGCCCCCCATACACTGGCAATGCCCCCGACTCTGAGAGAGAGAAGACACCTTCACAGCTCCGGACATCCCTGGGAACAAGAGTCAGGCTCTGCATACACCATCAAGCAACCCGCAGCCTCTTTCAGATCCCAGCTGGTCCCCATGCTGCATGTGTCCCTTCTTCCATCCCCTCCTTTGGGGGGGCAGTGCTGCCCGCCTGAGAAATGCTGCTGCCCCCTGAAAGATGCCACCTTAGGCAAATGCCTTGTTTGCCTTGTGGTAAATACACCCCTGGTGGTACTAACGTTTAGGGCAGAATGTGCTCAGAGACCAATTCCCCCCCAAACACAACAAGTCTGCCTTCCAGGTATTCATCCCTGGGCACATACTACAATAAATGCCCAGTTTGCATGAGGCCTAAAGTGAAACTAAATTTGGACATACCTATACACTACTTACCTCCACACTAGCCATGCAATGTCTATAACCTCTCTCAATGACACTAACATCTTCACCTGTTCTTCTGCCAAGTTCGGCATCTTTGGCCATCTTGATTACCTGGTAAGGATGACATAACTCTAGTGCAGTGTTTCTCAACTTTTCTTCAGTCAAAGCACGGGCAAGGCATGGATAATCTCAAGGCACCCAATCTAAAATGTAAAAAACTATTCTACACACATCCAGTACACCCAACGTTAGAGGTGATGTATTCTTCCAAAGCAAATACACCTTTTGCACAATGATACTGACTAGTATTCCAGTGTGTCTCTCTCATTTTCTCTCCCTCACTCTGCTAATGTGACCCCAGTGCTGACGGAGAGGGGAAGACAAGGATGATGTGCATGCACCCGACGTCCTCCTTATCAACTGATGATGTCATTGGTTGTTAGGTTAGGTTGTTGATCCACTTGCTGGGCTTGTATACAATTTTTGGGCATTTTGCCAAGGCACCCCTGGAGAAGCCTGAAGGCTCCTCAGGGTGCATGGGCACCCTGGTTGAGAAAGGCTGCTCTAGTGCACGAATGTTAATCCATCTCGGCAACCTGGCAAATACCATAATTGTATATTTGCACAGCTCAGTGTATACTCTAGCAACACATTTTCTCTTATTTGCTCCTTTTTGGTCTGTTAAATATACCATCAGATGTGTTTTACTTTAGCTGGTTTAACTGGGTAGCACAGTGGCTAAATGGTTGGCACTTCTGCCTGGCAGTACTAGGTTCATTGGTTCAAATCCCAGCCATGGCACCACCTGCCTGGAGTTTGCATGTTCTCCCTGTGCCTGTGTGGGTTTCCTCCCCCCACACTCCAAAGACATGCTGGTAGGTTAATTGGATCCTGTCTAAATTGGCCCTAGTATGAATGTGAGTTAGGGACCTTAGATTGTGCGCCCCTTGGGGGTTAGGGAATTATGTGAATGTACAATATATATGTAAAGTGCTGTGTAAATTGACAGCACTATATAAGTACCTGAAATAAATAAAAACAAATAGCTGCTCATCCAGTCAGAAGTCTAACCTCCTGTATTCACTGCTTGTGGACTGTCATCAATTAACATTGTTCCCTGCTTTCTTCATGAACTACAACACACCTCCACCTGCTATAGAAAAGAGAGCTATGTAGTCCTAAAACAATCACTTTCCTAGGGTGGTGATGCTGCAAAATACAGTTGTCACCCTGGGACAGGAAGTGTATTAATGGCAGGGTTATCAGGTTAATACAGGGAAAAAAGTGTAAAAATGAATGCAGTCACCACAGCTAAGGACCAGTAAGCTGCAATACTATCAATGTTTGTTCTTGGGTTTATATATGCTTTAAATGGCTGTCGTTAAAAGTTACCTGTGTTTGATAGCCAGCAAGCAATGTACAAATATAGCAAGGGGAGCCACATTTCATATGCAAAAACTACTTTTTGTAATAGTTTTTTTTTTATGCTCAAAGTTTTTATTAAGATACAAAAAGTGATTTAGTACAGACAACAGTCATGGTATATAACAAAGGTTAGTGGCAGGAAAGGTAATAAGAAATAAGAAAAAAAAACTAGGAAAAGGTTTTATTAATTATGATGTTTTAAATAGTAAGTATAATGCTTACAGTAACTTTGTGAAAGATGGCTAAAAGCCATATTTGTAATTCCATCCTGAGTCACTGGTTCTTCAAATGTAAAATATAATGAAGAATTACCCAGGCAAACCAGCGGGTCAGAGCAGAACATACATATGGCAAAGGCAGACTATAGGGTCCATTCACACCTATGCATCTATTATAATGCGTGTTGCTTGATCAACACGCATTGTGGTACCCGTGCCCATTCATTTCCTATGAGCCCTCAACTCACGTCCATGCACCAAAAAACATGCTTGACCCTTGTTGAGGTTCGGGTGTGTTGCTTACTGTGCTAATGCCCACTGGGGGCTCATTAGAAGTGAATTGTATCAACATGTCCCCAGCATGCATTGATGCAACAGGTGCACATACAGTAGATGTAAAATCTGGCTTGAGGGTTTGCTGTGGAAGGTTTATCAGTGGAAGCTATCACTAACAACTATGCTCATTGCCAGAAATTCTCCGAGGCTAGCAGAAATAATGCAAAGTAGTCAACCAGTGTCCTCAATTCACCTTGTGTCCTTTTTGAAAACTAACAAATGTGTAACTAGAAATTCAGCCATTTGCAGATTTCATCAATCTCAACAAGGCCGCCTTTATAAAAAGAAATAGGACTATGACTTGCTGTACAAATCTTTTCTTTGAGTACATTGGCCACAGGATAAGTAGTTCAGCTACTCAGGAGTTAGGCAGCTGTCTTTTAGGAGGTTGGACACTGGCAACCAAAGCCCCATCATGCAGCAAGCAATAGGAGGACTGGATCATTGAGGGTCCAGCATCCTTAATGTATGTGAAAAGGATTTTATGGTATGTTACAAACAGGGGCGGACTGACCATTTGGAAACTCGGGCACTGCCCGAGGGCCCGTGG